GAGTGCCCCGGAGCCCACGCTAGAGCTCCGCACTGGCCGCACTCGCCGGGGCGCAGGCCCACAGAACGCACGCGACCCGGCCCGGGTCCAGATCGCGGGGACTCACCTCTTGGACGCCGCCCGGGGTGCGGGGACCCCGACCCGCTGCAGCCTGTGGGCCGCGCTCCGCAACTCAGCGCATTCACCAGCCTGGCCCGCGGCTTTGGCCTCCACGGTGCCCGGTCCCCCGGCCTCCCTCCACCTTTCCCCGCATCCTCCCTCCACCCTTCCCGCTGCTCCGCCGCCTCCCATTCATTGCATCCGTTTCCCCTTCCCGGCTTGGTCCTCCCCTCCGAAGCTTCTCCGGCCGGACCCCGCTACCCTTTTGGGGTTCTCCGTACATTCATGGAAGTTTAGGGCCTGGACCGTGGCCCCGAGTTCGACCTGAGAGCGCAGCCCGCGCTGCCGACAGGACCAAGGAAGATGTCTGCGCTCAAGCGGATGATGCGGGTCTCCAATCGCTCCCTGATCGCTTTCATCTTCTTCTTCTCCCTCTCCACGTCCTGTCTCTACTTCATCTATGTAGCTCCAGGCATCGGTAAGCACCCGGACACACCCTCACCTCCTATGGTCAGAAAGAAGGTAATTGGGGTGTTCAGTCTTGGAAGATGAACCAAAGCATCTGATTTGACTTATTTCAAAACTGTCGAAGAAACTGCTTGGCCACGTTAGCTTGGTTAATACACCTTTCAAAGAACTTAAAAGGTGGCATTCGGTGGATGTAGGGAAACCAGGGCCTGGTGCTAGCCAGGTAGGGGTGGGGGTGGGGTGGGATGCCTCTGTCGCTTTCTTCAGGTAAGTTCGGTGTTTAATTGTTGTATTATTCAGACATCTTTATCTCCAGATACAATATCCGGTTATGAAAATATGATGGGGGAAACAGGACCTGTGAGGAAGGTCAAGAGTGTGTGCATGCTAGTGTTGTAGGTCAACAGACGTTTGCTCCATACTGGGGACATTTTAGGGGCTGAGTTGTTGAAACACAGCTTTGTTACTTAGTCGGCTTGGGTCTTCTTGTCAAAGTCATCTCTGCTTAACTTGTTCGGATTCCTGCTCAGGCAAAATGATGATTAAAATAATTATGCAAGGCAATTTATGGGCTTAAATTGTTAACTTTCTGTTAGTTGCGTTTGACTTTGGGTCCCCAATACACCTTTGCATGATCTTGGCTTCTTTATTGGAATATCCCAATTCCTCATTTCTCCTGCTGTTGACAAGGGGGCCACATGGCCTTGTTTCAGGGAGTGAAGATTTCTGTGAATTGATACGACTCTTAAAACACATCCTAGTCTCTAAACCTGGCTGAGTTTTCTTGTCACTCAGTGTTTATTGCTGAGTGACTTGGTAACAGTGAATATTCTGTCACTTCTCCTAAGATACTCAGTTGTCTTTTTTTGAGTCAGCGTTTCTCCCCTGAGTTAGCTAAAAATGTCATGCCTTTCAGAGAGGGAAAACATCTGCAGAATTTTGAGGTGAAATTCTTATCCCTGTAGAGGTGTGTGTGTGTGTGTGTGTGTGTGTGTGTGTGTGTGTAGGTGTGTGGGTGTGTGATAGATGATGGTAGTGAATTGCAGGGACAGACTGAAGCTTCATCCAGACTGATTTTTCATGAAAAAATTATTACTGTATAATCTTTTTTATTGGACTTAATTAAAGAGTATACAGTCAGATAATGATGCTTGGAAAAATCTTGACGTATCATTGCCAACTAGAAGTTTAGGGTAAAGTTTGAAGGAGTATGAATACTTGAACAATTTTGTCCTTTAGTTTGTGTTTTTCCCCAGGTAAAGAAAAACAACAACAGCAACAACAAGGACAAAACCCCCATTCTCTTGAAACTTTTGGTGCTTATGGCAGCATTTCACATCTCAGCCTGAGTCACGAATTGGGCAAATTCTCATACAGCTGGGATAGGCTGTGTAAGAATGGTTTTTATTGGCCTTAAGTTGGATGTTTTGAATCTCTTTCGTTAAGAAGTCTTTATTAATTCTGCCACACCAGCTAGTTTGTAGATATCAAAGGTATTTTACTATCTTTTCTGTCATTTAGTAGATTGGATATTATTTAGGATATTTAGGAAAAAAAAGGCTATAAGCAAAAAAATTCTTTCTTGCCATTTTAGACATCATATAAATCATCTACTTCTATAGAAACTTTTTTCCTTTTCATGTAACTCCTCAAAAGTTGGACCTCTTTGGAGAATGTTATTTTACCAGATATTTAGCTGTGAAAGAGTCTGCACAGGAATATTTTTTCCCCAATGTAATATTTTTATTAATAATTTGGGGAATGCACACAATGCACATAATGTACCCTGATCACACTCACTTCCCACAAGGATAATTTCAAAAAGTATCTTTCTTTATTGTGTTTGTGTATGTGTGTACAGGTGTGAACATGCAGAGGTGTGTGTGTGTGTGTGTGTGTGTGTGTGTTGTGTGTGTGTGTGTATGTGTGTGAAGGTCAGAATACAGCTTGTAGTCATCTCTCCTTCCACCGTGTGGGTTCTGGAGATCAAGTGCAGGCTGTCAGGCATGGCAGCCTGCAGCTTTACCTGTTCAGCCATCCTGCTGGTCCCTGACAAGATTTCTTTTTTTAGACTGGATTGCTCTATGTAGCCCTGACTGGCCTGAAACTCTCTATGTAGATATAAATGCTGAGATTAAAGGCATGCACCACCACACTCAGCAAGAATTTGTTTGAATTTATGATTTTGTATTTACAACTTTGAAAGGTCTCTCTTTGCTTTCTTGTTCCCTCTGTGATGCTGGGATAGGTGGTACTCAGGGCTGTGTGCGTGCAAAGAAAGCCTATATAACGGAGCTAATCCTGGGTCCTGCCTTTACATATATTGGGTAACGTGCTAAAAGGTTAAGCAGAGGAAATCTGCATCTCAGCTTTCCAGTGCTCATCTACTATCTGTAGATTGTTAAAATGCAGCTGATATGGGAGCCTGGTACACTTTTCTTATTTGAGTGTGCAATGTTGCAATAGAACAGCCAATGTCGTACAACCTTGACAATTGTCTTGCAAGCAACTAGGTTAATGTGGTTTGGAAGAAAATAGCCTCCAAAGGGAGTGGCACTGTTAGGAGGTGTGGCCCTGTTGGAGGAAGTGTGTCACTGTGGGGGCGGGCTTTGAGGTCTCTTTTGCTCAAGCTTCCCTCGGTGTGACTTTCAGTCAACTTCCTGTTGCCTGCAAAGATGTAGGACTCTCAGCTGTTCCTCCAGCACCACATCTGCCTGCACGCCACCATGATGATAGTGGACTGAACCTCTGAAACTGTAAGCGGGCCACCTCAATGAAATGTGTTCCTTATAAAAGTTGCCACCATGGTCATGGTGTCTTTTCACAGCAATAAAAAACCCTAACTAAGACAGAAGTAATAATTTAAATTACTCTATTTTGAGAACCTTATAATTAAAAATGTTAACAATGAAGCCAGGAAGAAAAGCATGTTAGCCAGACATAAATGATATGAATTTGTTAAGCCAGTGTCTGCCTCCCCTGTACCCTTGTGCTTTGGGGGAGAGAGTAGAAACCAGTGTCTGCCCCCACCCTTATGCTATGGGAGGAGACCAGTGTCTGCCCACACCCTTGTGCTAGTTTTTGGGGGGTTGGGAGGTTTTTTTCCTCTTTCTTTAAGTTTGAGAAGTTTTTTGTTTTTTTCTTTTTCTTTTTTTCCTTTTGATTTTTCAAGACAGGGTGTCTCTGTGTGGCCCTAGCTGTCCTGGAACTCACACTGTAGACCAGGCTGGCCTTGAACTCAGAGATCCACTTGCTCTCTGCTTCCTGAGTGCTGGGATTAAAGGTGCAAGCTACCTCTGCCTAGCTGGGAAGAAGTTTTCTAAAATTCAAAGTTTTGCTAGAAAATTCAAATTTTGTGTTTGGTGGCAAAGGCTGTCTGCTC